AAATATAATATATATCAATCATTAGATTAGAAAAATATTGGTTGTTTGTAAAGTAGGTTTACGATCGAGATGTTTACGTGATAACGTCTTATTGGTGATATAAGTTTTTGGGAAGTAAGGAATTAATGAAGATAACAATTTTTTCAAATTTTAAATTACATCTATCGTTTTATTCACACTTTTGATGATAAATTTCGGGTGTAAAATGACAAGTTTACTTATTCGACTATGATATACATTTTTCTTCATACATTCACGGAATGACTGGCAGCGCTCGAGATGAGACGGGAGATCGGTCCGTCTCTCTCTCGTTATACCTGCGATCGCGCTCGTGAGGTTTTGGTGTGACACAAGTTTCTGAACATGTCACCCGGCTAAAACGATTTTAAAGACGTTATCACGTCAAAAACAGAAAATTATTAAGTTAGTGAATATCTCAGAACTGAACTACTGTAATTTGATAAATCCTGTTGTAAGTTGGAATAAACCTGGTATATCATCTCGATATATCGTTTTATCTGTAGATATACCTACGATATATGTATATAATTACACTAAATAATTACATATTCCAATAACATATATAGTTAAAAGTGGTATTCCGGGTTAACAAAGCAATAAATCCAAATCCAGCTATTATCAAATTGAGTCCGCCTGGAGTGTCCTCTGTCGGCAATTTAACTAAACCAACTTTCTACCCCAACTGTATTTGTCTGTTCACTAGAATAAGACTTATGTCGTTCGCAAATGAAGTGCGGTTGTAGTTTTCATGATTAATGTATTTATCAATTTTGTATTTCGCACCGCCACTCCAAATATCGTTTGTGCCGACTACTACTTCTATTCTGTCTATGGGGTAGCTAAAAATAGTTTTAATTATATACAAGTGTTATTGAACTGCCAGTTATGGAATACAGATTAGCCTTGTGAACTTGTCACATTAAAACTTTATTTGATTATAATATTTATTATCTATACTAAATTTATAAATATAAAAAATCCAGCCATTTGGTGATAGGATAGTGAGAAATACATACTCTAGCATGCAATGGGCTGCAGTCAACACCAACCAATGGGAGATTATCGAGCTTCCACGGAAATGGGTCAACACATTTCGGTAATCGTAAACTCTCAATGAAGCCAGGTATGGGAACTCTCCTTGAGCAGCCTCCGTTCCTCCTACTATCTTCGGAACTACTTTCGTAGCTAAAAAAAATATTTTTTAATTTATTTATTTTTCTATCTCAGCGCTTGAGTCAGGCTTGATCTCAGTTAAAAGACAAATGACTCAAATAATTAAATCTTACTCGTATTACGAATAACATTTAATTTTTTGTATAATGGTTAGTTTATGCTAATCATTTTATGAACTTCAGAAACAGTCCTTTAAATAAACCTATCTTGTGTCGACCATATCAATACGCAACATATTATTTTTACATAATTATATACATATTGATTCTAGAATAAAATCGAAATTTAAATGTATGCGAGAATAAAAAAATAATTACGTGCTGTTTAAAATGGAAATTATGTTTTTTTAACTTCAATTTCTTTTACGTTATTTGTTAAGGCTGTTGGCTGTTATTTAACATCCTGCCAAACGAATGAGTTATTAAATATCTATTGAGGGTTTATGGCCCGATTATGTTTTAGAGGGAAAGTGAAGAAAAAAACACTTATGTTTTAAAAAACCGCACTTGCACATCTGAGACTGAAAATACAGTATTTAAAACATTAAAATTCAAATTAAAAGATATGTTTTTAATTTGTGTAATACTTTAATTACTAGGTCTTAATTGCAATACAATTCTTGTACACGCCACGTAATAATGAAATACATAAAATCTTATATTTTATCTTAATTCATAATTTTGTTTTTCTAATCTAATGATTGATATATAGGTATATTATCATCATTTACCTAATAACTTATTTAACCTGCTTGTTTTTGTTTTGTATATGTATGATTTTGTATATTATGGTAACGAAGTGTAAATAAATAAATACATTTACTAGCAGCATTCGCTGTTTGACCGGCCATGATTACGCCTAGCATGTTGTGGAATAACCTAGCTTTCGCAATTAAATTAATAATCCAACGAATTTATTTGCAATTCCACAATTTATTAAATAATTTTATAAATCTTTTACCCTTTATAGTTAAGGAACACAATTAAAGGAAACAAATTATTTTGTAGAAAGAAAATTAATTTGTTATTATCCAAGTCAAGCTAATGATAATTACAAAAATGTAGTAAAAAACGAAATAATAGATGTTAAAAAAAATAATAATTATTGGCATTCGATATGAGTGTTTCCAAAATTAATTAAAAAAAATTCCACCCAGAAAATTCAAAATTCAAAAATCATTTAATCATATGGGTAACACATTGTACACTTATGACTTGTCAGTAAAGAAATACAATATTAATGCTTCTAATTTTACATTTAGTGCCAGTTCTCAAATCAAGGGCGTAGAAATTATACATTAGACAAAAAGCAGCCTTGCTCCGATTCATCTTGTTGAATCGTAAATCTTATTTTATATTCTGTCAGGATTTCATAATTATTTAAATAAGTTCTTTGTCACAAGGTGCACCATTTATTTCGTATTACATAAAGTATAAAAATACTTCTACAAAAAGCTTACCACGCTTTTACAATAATCTTAACCTACTTAAAAATAAGAAAATTATAACAAAGTTGTTAAAACAAACAGACCTTTAATGCTAGCAGCATTTACTTGCTGTATTGCGATTCTTTGTTAAGCGAGGAAAGCACCAGCTCTGGGGTCACCGGTACTACAAGGTGCCAATTACATGAGGCTGCCGAGTTTACACATTTTCGCTTAGAATCGCTTAGTTTTGGTTACACACAGCGAGGGAAGGAAGGATCTAGTTATTGCTAAGTAACTATTTCAAATACGGGATGGGCGCGGAATACCAGGCATTAGGGGCTCCGCGAAAGCTTGACAATTTTACGAAGAAATTGAGATATTCAGTGTAACGTTCACAACAAAACAAAATACAAAAGAGCTATAATCAATTTTTTTATTATGAATAGGTTTAGGGCTAAAGTTCGTTTTAATAATAATCTTTTAACTTTATTTAGTTATTACTCAGATAGTTGGTAGAAATAAAAACAGACCAATTATTTAATTATGACGAAGTAGCATGAAGTCTTGAACGAGCTTTGTAAAATCTGTTAGATCTTTGTCGTTAACTGCTGACTACGCTGAAATTTTACTCCATAATATATATGTAAATATTAAAATATATAAATATTTTTAACTTTAGTTTATTTGGTTGTCAGAGAAAACTCAATGTTGTTGTTATCAAATAGTTATTAGTACCCAAAATGTTAATGAGTTTTTTTGAAGCCCTTGACGAATATTATTAAAAGGAGTCCCTTTAGGCAAGGTTCCGAAGATACTGGCAGCGTTCCCCGTTTGAGTAGCTAGACTAATTCTTTGTCCGAGGTAGCTGCCAGCTCTTCGGTCTCCTGTGATGTCGACTAATTGTATATTATAATGATTAACTCCCATACTTCACAGTCCCATACTAGACGTCTACAATACGGGTAGGGTCAAGGTGGTGGGATTATCTCAAAGATATCAGGCAGGCTCTTCACGCGATTCTTATTTATTGGTATAAAACAACATCTCCGATAGTCTCCGAAGAAAGAATACCTTGAATTTTCGATGTAAAAATTCGAATGAACTAAGTAATGTGACTTATTAGACCTTGAATATCACAATATAAATGGGTATTTTTAATTAAATAATTTGAAATTACTTTTTGCCAAGTTTAACTTAATTGTTTTCAAAAAATAATTACTACTCAACCTTGATATTAATGAAAAATTTATAATATAAATGTTTCTTAGTTTCCACGACTTTAAAAATTTATTTTATTTAGATTACACAAAAATTTCGGAATAATACGTTTTTCGAGTGAACGCATTTTTGAATTCATCAATAAGTGAATCAAAGAATGTGCTATAAATAAATAAAAATAAAATAAAAGGTCTAAAATCATTTATTCATGTAGGTAACACAATGTACACTTATGAACGTCAAAAAAGAAATATACATTAAATGATTCTAATTTTACATTTACTGCCAGATCTCAAATCAAGGGTGTAGAACGGAAGAGAAAAACTGCCAATAAACTCTCCGCCACTCTTCTTTTTTTTTGTTTACTGCAACAGCACCGATGCTTAACCTCCTTCCTTCTATTTGAAGAGCGATTCCTTAGGGTAGTTATCCGTAGTATCCCGTAAGGGATAGATGCCGTGACTGACCTGGCTGAGCAGAGATAGGGACAAGGGACGTATTCCACGTGCTTAACAGAGTGACCAAGGAGTACGATATGGTACTCGCGGTTTGAGACCCTACCCCGTGCAGCAAATGGACCTCTAACCTCCGAGAGTGCTGTAAGCTCTCTGGGCTAAAGTCAAAACTTCACTCAAACATTCGTCTTCGTGGCAATAACATTAATTAAAATCCCTGAGCGCACGGTGGGACGTGGCATGGCCCGTCGCGTCGTGACGCGTGAACCAAGCTATCCCACGCGGTTCCTCATTTTCTTAACACAATCCCAACTCCTCGATCCCGAGGACCCAGTCTCACGTCAGAGGTCTTCACGCATCAGCCAACCAAAGCGCCAACTACGGCGTCTCTCCAGACGCCTACGACGAAGCCCGGCCGTAGCCCAATGGATGAAGTTGGCGTCTACACGCCACATCGACAAGGTTAAACACCAACGCAACCTGTTGGTGCGTAAAATCATCAACAATGCATGAAAAAAACATTGAGTAACACACATACAATTCGATAATATTTAGCGATATTATTGAACACCAATAGTTATAGTTATGTTCTTATTTAATTATTTCCGTCGATTGCAATTTTTTTCCATTAAATTATGAAAATTTTTAAGTATAAATATGGAGTACACAATTATAAATTTCAAAGCAAGGACAGGACTCGAAGGAAAATGTTTCTCCATTTTGGAATACTACTTCTTCTGTCCCAAGGACTCCTTGGTAAGATAAATTTCATTTAATTAATACTTGTTTATACCCAATACTGTGTAGTCTTACGAAGGATGCAAACACGACTCGAACAGAATTTTTGACAAATAAGAACTATTTAATTTCGCACCATCTGGACCGTCATTTAAAAATTTGATAATGAATTCTTTCTTATTTTTCTTTAAACAAAATAATTGTTATACCGTCCCGTGCACAGTATATTAAGCTAAACATGAACATGTAGCCCAATTAAATGAAGTACGTTCACAGGCGAAGTGGACGTTTCGGAAGCTATAGATGGAGACAGCCGAATAATCCTTGGCCAAGATGCCACTCCAGGCATAGCTAAGTACCAAGTTTCAATTCGTGTTCATGAAAATGGTACAGAAGTGCACCATTGCGGAGGATCTATTTTAAACGAAGAGTACGTGCTAACAGTAGCTCATTCTATTGATGAGTGAGTATATTCTTAGTTTTCATATAATATTATTTAATTGAATGAGTTAACATATGTAAGCTCCTTCCCCTGCGTATGCTTGCTCACAAGTCTGGTTTGCAAGAAATGACAAAAACCTACTTTAATGATAGTTTATTGATTAAAAAAAACTTTTAGGATCATCATCAAACATATGTCAATAGTCGTTGGTACACACACGATGTATAAAGGCGGTGACCGATACAAGATTAAGAAATTTATCCCTCATGAGAAGTTTTCTCCTTGGATGCCTTTTAATAATAACATAGCCATCATACAGATCGAAGGCAAATTCAAATTCAGCGATAAGGTTCAACCCATTGAGTTGTTAAAAGAAATGGCACCCATTGGAAAGAAATGCCTCTTGACTGGCTGGGGATACGTAAACAATGTGAGTAGATTCATATAATTGATAAAATAAATGTTTTTAGAAATTTATCAATGTTTCTGGGTCATCGGGGTGCTTTAAATAATGGTGGATTTTATTTATACTGTATATTAACTACTCGCGTACATCAATAGAATATAAGCGCGATAATTAAATGTTAATTGCTATGTAACAGTTAAAGAGAGTGTCTACTTTTGGCTATACTCTCAGGACGTAACTCCGACGATTTAGGTAATCGCCACGCTTATTAAACTAAAAAAACCTAAGTGAGTACAATCTGCTTTGTAATATTCTGCACTGAGACCCTGATTTCGCTGGAATCTCGCGACCTCCAGGATAGGCGCTGTGTGCCTTCAAAAATTATTACAAATTTATAACAAGCAAAAGTAATTTTTTTTAGCCAAAAGTTTATGTATGGAACACAAAAACAAAATAATAAAAAAAACGTGTGCGTTCTGGGGCCGTAACGCGTTACGTAACGAAGCGGTTAACATAAGAAGAAATGAGTAACAAAATGGCATTCTGGACAGGTGGCATTATTTCAACATCGTTACGTCAATTTCCATTATTTATAAAAAATATAGAAACACTTAATTCTCTCCTTGATAAACAAATGTTGTGTATTATTCCAGGAGGGAGATATTTACAAAAAAATCTTAATATGTTGGAGTTCGAGACTATAAGCAATGAGGCCTGCACTCAACGATTAAGAATATTGCCTTACCCGAATGTGTTGCCTGTTGACGCCGGACAAGTCTGCGCACGGCGCCCGGAGTACAGAGGTGCATGCACTGTAAGTAATCAAAATAATGTGCACAATTTTAATAGATTTTTTTTCCTTTTCGTTTCACGTAATAATCGGGCTTTATCGGATTTCTATGTTTGCATTTAATACTCGCTCATACGGTGAACCTGGTGGAAAAAATGACTGATCATCTACACACCTAAAAAAATGAGAAAATTCTTCGCTCTAAGGCCAAAACCCAGAATCACACACTTCTGGATTATTGTTATTAATAAGAGAAGCAGATCAATAAGTATATTTACAAAATAACACATTCCTGTAAATCATTACCTTTAAATATTTTTATTTCTCATGCAGGGTGATTATGGCAGTCCTCTCGTCATTCAGGACGATAAGAACAAAACTCTTCAAATAGGAGTCTCGGCCTTTGTTTCCTGGGTTCCCTGCGCTGCAAACTTTCCCGATGTATTTTCTTCAATCCATGGTTATTACGATTGGATACAGCGCAAAATTAAATGAATTATTCAATAATTCAAGATGATTACATCGAATCAAAATAAATATCGTTTGAAATAAAAGTATATTTTATCATATGCAATATTTAAAAAAAACACCTAACCCCTACGATTGTACATTAAGGGGAGATAATGACTGGTTGTTACCACCCACACCTACGAGATGCCCACGAGCGCACTCGAAAAAAATTACCCAATTCAACATTTAGGTAGTCCTAATCTAATTTCAAAATGGCGACCAAATTCGGGCATAATAACTTTTCGTTAATTAAACGAAAATTATAAAATATATTTAAATTGATAATAATTTGATAAATTACGTCGTAATATAAGGAGCAGTGTTGGCTTAGTGGCTTTTCTGTCTAAATAAACATTTAACATTCGCTTGTACGGTAAAGGAAACTTAATCTCTAAGGCGAGTCAGAAGGCTGATCGGCCTGCTCATCACTTGCCTTTTAGAAAAACTTAATTCTCCTCAAACAGACTTAGAGTGGCGGAGAGTTTCTTGGCAGTTCTTCTTGCGGTACGCTCTTGACTTGCGAACTGGTAGTAAATGTAAAGCCGAACGAGTTCGACTTCGGGTCCTTCAAGAAAAGAGTGTAACAATTCTTATTCTTAAAAGGCTGGCATAGCGCTTGTAAGCCTTCTGGCAGTGCGAGAGTCCATGGGCGGCGGTATTTTAGAATGTTCGTGGATGTTGTAATAAAAGGAATATTTAATTAATACTATTTATTCTGAGATTAACAAGTACGACATTTTGTGCAGTAAGAATTACCTTCTTAAGTAAGTAAAGGTCCTCTCGTGACATAATTTGGTACTAAAAATTGGTTGCGTACCAAAAATACATAATATTCTAACAACTTTACATGAGGTCTTGCCCCTCTATCTTCTGTAACAAAAAAAAGTTAGAATTAATTTAACTTCTTTTCTGACATTAATAAGTGTACTTGCTTACCTATATGAATAAAGTTGTTTTTAGTTTGATTTTTTTAAATCTAAGGCCAAGTTTGTATTTATTGTATATAATCACGTTATATAAAATATTCCATTTGCTTCCTTTCCGTACACTTTAAGTGGTCGGAATTGTTTTTAACGTTTAATATTTTCTTACATTAATCATACACTGTCTGAAATTATTAATTGGACAGGCTCAGCACTGAGGTGGTGCGCTGTACCAGAATCACATTACCTTGGTGAAGGAAAATAAGGAAACCAGCTGTCTCAGATCTGCCACTTTATAACTTGATGTCTCTGAAAATAAGTCTCTCGGTACAGACTTTGACCAATATACGAAACGTCGACCTGACTTTATGTTACTTCAGGCTTATCAGTATTAAATTAATAAAAATAAATACACCATTAATACATAATTTATATTGTATATAACAAACACAGTACAATAATTTGATGTGACAAGTTATTTTGTCTTTGACTTCTTATTTTCTTCATCATTTATGTTGGCCTGTATCCATTCCAGGAAAGAGTAAACCCTAGTGTAGACATCAGGGTATCCCCTGGCGCATGGCATGCCCCAGTTCATGCTACTCGCCTTCATAGAATAAGCAACTCGTTCATGGGTCAATGTATACGCTTTTACAATAAACTTCCTATGGATGTTCGTAAACTTCCCCTTAAGAAATTTAAATTTTTTATTAAATCAAAATTATTAACTAAAGGATATTACAGGATATCCGATTATTTAAATGATAGAAACGCCTGGGATTGAGCTGCTCGCTTATACAGCTATCGCTTGTGTTTTTTTTTAAGCTGTCTTTCACTTTTTTTTTTTTTTTTGCATGTTGTACATATTTACAATCTGACATGTCTTGTGCTTTTGCATATGCATTTTATTTTATTCTATTGACATGTTTGTGCTTAGTGCATATTCATTTTTTTACATTTTTTTTTCTCTACATTACTGACATGTTTTGTGCTTTTGCATACAATATTTTACACTTTGACATGCCAAGTGAATAATGTTTATATTACGATTATATTTTTCAATTTCATTATTTTTCCTTGCTTTAAGGTACACCTTAAAAATACATTTTGTATCCATTGTAAGTGTAAACATTATGCGGGTATATCATAAACTCTTTTGCTTGATTTATAATTTGATACATTTTAGTCTATAGTTATTTTGGGCTGGCGATCTGAGTGAGTTGTTGCCCCACATATCTTTATGGTGCCACTGGCGGTATTGTTGTGTACCGGGTTGTGCAGCTCCCTCAAAAATGGTTGAGCTGCATGAGCTATTCGGGGCATGCTAGCCGTCTGCTGGCGCAGGCTTGCTCAGATCGATCTGGTTCTTTCTTCCAAAGACCAGTCCAGTAAATACTCTGCATTTGTTTACACCAACTTATTAATTTATTATTGTATTATCTGGACTATAAAAGAGACTAAGACCCCCGAGTTTGTTTCGACATTTCTTCTCAGGGCAGTCAGTTAGGAAATGTCGACTTCATCTAGTTTAGGAAGACATTGTAAAAGTGATTTATATAGTCCTACTTGCAAGAATAAACTATTTCATTTCATATTTCATTTCATTTCATTTCATTCATTTCAGACGATGCCCACGACCCGATCATCCTCAACCAGAGGACCTCCAGAATCACCCTGAAAGATGTCAACTGAATAAAACTTGATTATTGCAAGATACACAGAGCTAGCACATGATTTGAGAGGAGTATACACTGCATCCGTACTCTATAAATTCCAATATGGAGGACAGTGATACAAATCACGTCATTTCACACAATTTTGTATGCAAGATCAATTTAGTTCTCTCAATATCCATAACGCTTTAGTCGCAAGCTTGGAAGGAGTTTCTTAACTCAATCAGTCTTACAGCAATCCTTAAGGGATTACTCTTTAAGTAGTACTGAAGTACTCTTTCGCCTCTTTCTGTCAAATGAATGTGTTTGAGATGAAAAAAGACAAATGAATACTTTAGTTAAGACGGTGCAATTACTCTGATTACTTTTGAATTTGAATTAGCTTTATAGCTTTGCATAAGATGGTGCAAAGTTATGGCATAGTTCTGTTATAAAATAAATGAAGTTAACAATAACATAGTAGCACATCAAACTTTATGGATCGCGTCTCTACAGCGCCTCACTTTGAGCGCAGAAGAATGTGCGAAGTGCGTAGAATTATTTAAATAAATACTAAAGAATTAAAGGGTTCTTTTTGGGCATTATCAGAGCATTGCGAGAACAGTGTTGTGTTTTAAAAAAGCTTCCATGCAAAGGAATTTTTACCATGTTTTATTTTTTCAATATCCATTTTACACTGTATTTCTCTTTCTTACAATTAACATACGTATGCTAAAGGATTATAATCCTGTTATCTCTGTGCAGGCTGCTTACGTAAGTGCGTGCTCCTATTTCACCATGCCTGCTGATGGAGGACAAGTCTTTGTTTTTAATTTATGTTATTGTTGTTGATTGCGTAGGGTGTCATGTGGAGCATGGTGTAATGGTTGCAGCTCCTTACAAACGTTGTGTATAAGAAAACATGGCGATTAAAAAGAGTGATTGCCAGTTCTTCTCTTCCGTTATACGCCCTTGATTTGAGAACTGGCACTAAATGTAAAGTTAGAAGCATTTCATATACATTTCTTTTTTTTGACGATCATAAGTGTACAATGGTTACCTATATGATTAAACGATTTCTGAATTTACAAATACTATTGTGAATTGTAAAATCCTCTAAATGCAATGAGAGCTGTCAGGCGATTATACAAATTATTTATTGATGCGAGAAATATTCGGGGAAACTACGATTTATACTTATTTTCAAATTTACTTCTACTATTATTATTTCAAACAATAATTATAAGCTTATATATTTATAATTTTATCTATATGTTGTTATCCAAGCCAGGTAAATAAACAGCAAACGTATTGCCACGTAATGTTATGGCAACAATCATTAGTTTAGTTTTGCAAAAACGTAACGAGTAGACAAATACATTAATACATTGGTTATTTTTGTATATATCCCAATACTTTAGTTGTAGTCGGGGTTAAATAAATAATTAATTATGAAATTACCAGTTCTTTGTCTTTAGAATATTAAAATACTTACGTGACACGCTCGCTTTTGTAAGAGAGCAAATTTGGGAATCAAATACAGGATTAATCCCACTAAATAGGCTCTGGCATTCATCCACACTCAAGGCTGTAACATTAATCATTTGTAGAGCATCGGGCAAATTACCTGGATACTGAAAATTATTGATTCATAATATTATATATTATACAGCCAATGTTCCTCAGAGACAATGTTCTAATGGTGAAAGAATCCAATTCCAGTCGTTCTGGAGTGTATTCATTGCATACAAATAAACATTAAATATTTTCGCAACTAAGCGTCGAAAGGAATAGGGCCTCTGTAACTTTGCGAAATCATCGACGAGACAAATTCTGTCCATAAATATTATCATTAATGTATATTTTTTTATTATAAATATGTATAGACTATCTAAAATTAGTAATTCTTTTTTGGAAAAGGGATCCCTTTTAATAAATTTAAGAAATGTATTAAAGAAAAGCTGCGTAAAAAGGCTTACTATAAAGTTAACGATTATCTAGTTTACTGATAAAAGGGCCTGTTATGAGGCAGTGAATAAAACTTGTTTTAAACTAACAAAGACTTTATTTAAAATTATGTTTACAATAAACTTGCGTTGAAGCTGGAATATGGATTAGAAGTCATCTTGAAAGGATCGGGATTTGATATTTAAAGGTTTGGGTAGGAGTAGGGATACATTAAGGGAACAAACAATGTCATTAAATAATTAATCATAACTTATCAATACGTAAACAAATGGTTAAACTTATAAAAGGTAAAGAAATAGTAATTAGGTAAATAACAATAGAAAGATTAATTATACAGTGGGGACCCAAAACACTCCCCCTTTAAAATAAAGGTTGCGCCTGTTGGCGTGAACTTTTTGAAGAAGTTTGTTGGGCGTTCTCTTCTTCGTCGTCCGAGCTGATG